ATTTTGAGGGAAAAAAAAGACGTTTAAGTGCGCCTTATAGTCGTGAAAATACGGTAATTTATCTCTCAGCACTAGCCTGATATCCCCTTTCCCTGGTTGTATTGACGGCAACAGTATTTCCTCTCTATTTCAATTACATTTCTGAACTCTTGATAGCTTTCTAACAAAAATATGCAATGCTCTTATACTTGAAACTTTCTTGCCTCAGTCACATTGAGCAAGTGAGGTTGCCTTTTAATGGAACTGGATAATTGTGGCTTGAGATGTTTTGCCTAACTTGAGCCTGAATTGGTCATCAAAGCTGGGCTTTTCTGAGTGAGATTATAAAATACCCCTAAGGAAAACCGTTACAAAAATAAACCTAGTTAATAAACGTGCATTAGGGGGATACAAAGCTCTCTATTACCGTTGCCCAAGATCTGCAATAAATTTTGCTAATGAAATTGCTTCATTAAATAACCACCTTGTTATATCTGCTCCAGTCAACCAAAACAGATGTATTATTTATTTGTTTTATCTATAGTCTCTAGTCTTTCTCAAATCAAAATACAAGGGGCAGTGAAATATTATATGAATTTCACCCTCAACCATATTAGGTTCACAAAACACACACAGATCTTTTGAAACCCCCTGTAAATCTTCTCACTTGTATCACAAGAGTCTTCTAGTTCTGCACTGTGCACACATTTACCTTTGACTTCTTTTCATTTTTAACTTATTGGGATTTTTTGAACACAAACTCACATCACACTTCTGGTCATAAAAAAGGTATGCTGTGTTCTTCCACTTCACAGATAAGACCATTTTGTGCTTAGCAATGAACTAGAGGGAGGCTTGTGGTTTTAATCAGCACATTTCCAAGACAAATTTTAACTTGTCTATGATGAGACATGCTGAAAAACACAAACTTTACTACCCCAACTAAATGTTTTAGAGTCAGTTGGGATTTGACGCATTTAATATTTTTATTAAAAGCAGAACAAATGTTAGCCTGAAGGGTGACTTTTCTCTTAAGCCCACAGTGAACTGATTTCACTCTTGCATAATCTGCATTCACCAGTCCAAGCAAATATGGCATGAGCCCATATTTTCGGGCAGTTTGGGAAGCTTTTAGTCATTTCTGGTAAGAGGAACAAAAGAATTGCAGACATTCTTATATCATCAGGGATTTTTGTCTTTCTAAAAAAATGTGTCTTTAACCACACAAGAGAGCTAATAACTCAATTCTCACTTGATAAGACTAGCCTCAGTGCACCAGGTAACAGCACTGAATTATTAGTGAAATTCTGAAATGTAGCTTACATTACTGTATCTTGACTTTAAAATTGTAGTGTTTAAATCGAAAAACATTGATAATCCTTTTTGAAGAAAAAGTTGTGGACAACAAAATCTCACTGCAGTATACCTAAGGCATTCTAACAATATGGCCACTAAATAAAAATGTGTCTTCCATGAAGAAGAAGAAAAAAAGAGAGGGTGAGAATATTTTATATTTTTCCGCTTTGTGAAAAATCCAATATTTAAAAAACAAAACTGTGTTTATATGCATTTTATGACATTTCTAGTCAGAAGTATACATAATACTTTCATATTCTTTGTTTGGGGAATGAGGACAATCTCTTGTTTATTAGTTTTGTCAATGGTCTCTTTATCTGCCAAAAGAACATGATAATGTTACAGTTTTCATTATTGTGAAGGGGGTTACCATGGACACTGCAATGTATGGTGCAACTCCTACAGGGCATCACCAACTGCAACAGCACAGACATCCACTGCTGTTTCATATGTGGAAATGCAACATTTTAAGAAATCAACCTGCATGTATTATTAACATTTCTAACAAGTTTTTATAAAGTATTTTAATCATCTCTCTTCAGAAAATGTAGATGATGATAATTTTTTAAAATATT